GCTGGTGCGTGAAATTTTTAATTGTTTTCCAATGTTTGAACTATTTTTGCATAGACTAAAGTACAAGGCAGTGAAAATCATTAATAGCCAATCGTTCGATGGGCTGAATTGCACAAAACGCATGATCGCACCGGCTAGTCTAGTGCGCGTTCCTATTTTGTTTGGAGGAGCAAAAAGGTCACAGAAGCATTCGCTCATTTTGATTTATCAATGGCCATTCGAATTATCGTTCAGCACATTTACCATAAGCCGTCAAGCGAGACGCGCAGTGGCCAACTCACTCTTAGCTCTTAGCGGACTCTTAGCGGACGCTTTGCCATCTGCTCTGATTCAAGTAAAATGGAACCCATGCACTGAAAGTTTGCCTTCTGTGAAGGGCGAGCGGATGAAGCTGGAGTGGTAGGATGTGCCAACAGCAACTGCATTTTAGTAGGGCTATCGATGGCTATCTCGTGCAATCTGATGGCATTTTCCTGACACAGCCAGTACCAGTTTACTATTGAAAAGGACGAACAAATGGATTGCTTACCACACTGACAGTGTTAAGCCGTTGACCCCTAGCTTCTTACCACCACTTCATGTCCGACACCTGCTTTGATTTACTCTTATGAAAAACCTACTGCACCGTAATTGTCCCATTTGCCTCAACAAAGTTTAGCCTGGACTAGTCTCGGAGCAGAAATTTTTTTAGGCATCGAATTCGGTAATCTCACGCATACTTCCAGAGAGGTTTTATTCTTGCCTTGCCTAGTTCCTGTTATTCAAAAGGAAGAAACCTTCTATATGTTAGCAGAAAAATCATTGGCGACGTGCACTGGGCAGGCCCGTGCGATCATGCGTTTTTGCAATGTTTCGCGTTGCAATAAGATCACTCGAAATTCCGCTAGCTAGAAACCTCTTGTACATGCTGGTCCTCGAATTTCGGGAAGTTAATTATCCACGCTATGCTTGGGCAAGGAGCATTCCCTTGAAATCCCAGGTTCCCATCTTTCTCAGTTCCCGAGTTACCCAAATTCCAGCCAAAAAATTTAACGGGGTTGTACGTGGCAGCCACGCATAACGGGGCTGAATTTGATAAATTTAAGTTGTAGATGAGTTGGGAACATTTCCTGAAAATTTCAGCCCCCCAGCTTTGTTGGTTCCCGAGCTAGCGATTTTCGCGCCAGCAGCCCCCACGAGGCCGTATGCGGGAAACGCGCACACCTGGGGGCTGAATTTAAAATCTTTGAGTTCTATATGGACGAGGAACATAATCCCAAAATTTCAGCTTTCTAGCTTTTCTGTTTCCCGAGTTAGCGATTTTCCCGTCAAAACTTTGAGGCGCTTGTGCGCGGGGCCTAGACGTGCGTGAGGATTGGTATCGCGGTCCTGGGGTGGCACTTGGCCGGGAAACCCACTCGCAAAATTTTGGCGCCGGAGCTTGCTTGCGTGCCGAGCTGAAGTATCTGGACAGACACACACATAGCGGGATCGTCACAATATGTGTTTTTGCATATAAGCAAAAACGCATAAAAAGGAAAAGCCAGCGGAGGTTGCTGAGCTAAGTCAGCGTAGCATTTGTTTTTGAGGGACACATATTTAGTCATTTGAATTCTAGTACTTTCGCAGAGATTTGAGCATCCAGGCAAAATTCTTCTATTAATGGGTTTGCCCTTAGAACGCAAGATGCTCCATGCTTCAGACTGCTTTTTATGAATTACAGGACCCAAAGCGCAAGAATACAGGGGCTTATTAGCACTGAAATACCCAATGGAGCATGGCATAGTTACCGACTGGAACGATATGGAACGAGTGTGGCAGCACATCTACAGCAAGGATCAATTACAGGTATTAATTCCTTCAGCGTCATCCCGGAAAAACTGCAACTTTTTCGTACTTTGTCTCGCAGCAGTGCTCATAATTTCACGAAGTGCTTTTTTTTTCAGGGATTTTCCTCGCATCTTCGTAAAGCCTTGAGTAATAACATGAGCCCAAAGCTTTTTATGAGTTCTAAAGCCTAGATTGACTTTTGATTTGCAAATTAATGTTGGTCAGTTTGGTTTCATTTTAATGAACAAATCGTTGCAGGTTTTCCCAGAAGAGCATCCTGTACTGCTTACTGAAGCGCCGTTGAATCCGCTGAAAAATCGTGAAAAATCTGCAGAAATATTTTTTGAAACGTTTAATGTGCCGGCGCTGCACATTCAAATGCAGGCCGTCCTCTCACTCTATTCAACGGGTCGCACCACCGGCGTTGTTATTGACTCGGGCGATGGCGTAACGCATGTGGTACCGATCTTCGAAGGCTTTGCAATACAACATGGGTTCGCCTCCACGCAAAATTTTATTTCACCAAATATTTTGCTGCTTTGAATCGTGTTGTAGATGCCATTGTGCGAGAGTAGTGTTGCGTTTTTTGCTTTTTAGAATTGAACGAATGGATGTGGCGGGGCGTGATGTGACGAGATATCTTCGTCTACTGCTTCGCAAAGAGGGCGCGAATTTTCATCGCTCATCCGAATTTGAAATTGTACGCGAAATCAAAGAAAACGTGTGTTACATTGCAGCAAATGCTGACAAAGAAGAGGGCAGCGAAAACGAAAAGGTCCAATTTTTGTTGAATCTTACGACATTTGGGTAATCAATATTGTGAATGACAGCGTTCTTTCATGGGCGCCTTATGTTTAGAAAGCATACAAGCTTCCCGATGGTTCAGTGCTTGAAATCGGTCCTGCGAGATTCCGTGCTGCCGAGGTGCTGTTTCGACCGGACATCATTGGTGAAGAATGGCCTGGTATTTCAGCAGCTCTTGATATGTCCATAAGGGTACTTTTTCTTGTTCCGTCTAAATTTCACCTGTAATTAAGATGGAGCGTGTTTTACAAGCATTTTCCATTCGCTTTTTGCATTTATGCAATGCAAAAACCTATATTGTTGAGGGGTTGTCTGTGTGTTTCTGTATTTGCGTCTGCACCGAATTTCCACCTCGAGATCTACGAAGGCTACAAAGTTAAAATTTTGGCAACTTAATCAACACATACGTGCTGGCCTCTGTCTTCAAAATGGGCGCTCACTTCTGCGTGGTTCTCACACACGATCACGTGAAAGTTTTTTTGGCGAGAAAACATTTTCGGGAACGGCGCATGCTAGAAGATTGGAACTTAGCTGAGATGTCCTTGGTCACGTCTAATCCGAAGATTTCAAATTAGGCCTTCATGCGCCCCTAGGTCTCACGTACAGGGTTTAAACTGGCGTCGTGCCAACTCCAGATTTAAGCTGAACAATAAGCTGCAGAGAGCTGCAATTTTACAGCGTTATTTGTTGCCCGCACCTGTGCCCGTGAAAGTAAATTGAACTTCCCAGTCCCTCTGCATCTCACGTACGGGCATGTGAAAGTCTTGCGCATGCATTTTTATAACTTCAGAATTGAAAAAACTGGAGGGCTGGAACTTTTCGAGCATAACCGACGGCGGCGTTTGACCGGAAGGACGTAAAAATGACTTTCACGTCATTGTCATGTGCCGTGTGCCTCTCACGTAAGCACATGTGAAATGTAGCCGACTCCGCAACCAGTACAGCTAGAGCGCAGAAATTTACTGAGCGTGACCCGGGCTGCGTTTGAGCAAGCGCATGCGCAGACAACATTCATGCTGCCGCTCGAGTACGAACACGTGAAATTTGACGTAACTTCGCAATCGGAGCAGCTAGAGTGCTGAAACTTTCTGGGCGTGGCCCAGGGAGGATTTTTAGCAAGCGCATGCTTAAGCAGCATTCGCGTCTCCCCTCACGTACGAACACGCGAAATCTGACGTAGTTCTGCAACCGAGCATCTAGAGTGCTGAGTTTTCTCAGCATGGATTGGGAGCCATTGTAATAATTTTTAACAGTCGTGGTGACTACTCTGATTTCTCTTAGTCAGAAGCATCTGCCGGAAAAAACATTGCTGATAGCAACAAAAACCTATGGGGGAACTTTGCAAAAAGCCCATTTTCGCACGGGCGGCCGGTGCGCTGTCGAC